AGAGGTTGAGAAAATGAGGCTTTGCTGCGGTGAGAAGGAGAGGGGTTTGCTACTGGCTAGATGGAGTGGGTGGGAGTTTTGGTGGCCGGCTGGTTTGGGGTTGCTGAGGATTGGGGGTGGTGGGAGGCAGTTCACTCTTCGGTCCTTTTTTTTCCCTCAATTATTAGCTTTCATTTTTTAATTTAATTAAACTTAACACTGTTAGCTTAGATTTTAAATGGAATGATAGATGTCAAAAAGTTAGATGGGTAACAGGTGGGCACATGAGAAATGCTAATAGGAAAATTGAACTTGTCTGTAGTTGGTGGTTGGGAAATAGGGGAGAAGAAATTGGTGGGAGGTTTTCTTTTGGGAGTTTCACTAAAATCCAACATGGAATGCACTTTAGCAATACACCCAAAATCCATTTACTATATAAGAAATTGGTGTTGAAGTTCCTATAAATTACAGGACTGCCACTGAAAAAAAACTCAAAAAACACCCAAAACAAGCCCAATCCAATTTTATAAAAAAGCCCAAATTTTTTTTTTTTTTTTTTTTTTTTTCACAAAAGTCCAAAACCATTTTATTACAACACAAAACTGTCTCGAAAACAGTAACTTCAAGCACGCATATTCATTAAACCATCTCAGCAAAACATCTCTTCATTTCATCGTCTTCATCATTTATGCAAACTGAAACTCCATAACAACCACCAAGCTTGATCTACTTTCAAAAACCAACACCACACACTAACCTCCACATGCAAAACAAAGATAAAATTTCAGAGAACAATTTCAACAAGAAAAGGCTTCAAAGGTAAGACATTTAAAAACCAAACCTTTATTGTAATGTTGATTAATTGCTGTAAAGTTTCAGTATATGGTAATAACAGTATTTTATATTCGAATCCAAGACAAAATTTTGAAACTATATTGGATTTTCACTATTGGACTAACTGCATATGACTATAAAATAGTCAGTTTTCAGCAACTCAAAAAAGAAAGAGATATTTAGTCATATACTCATTTTTAACACTGCTAGTTTACTTTCATGATGATTAATGGCTGTAAAGTTCCAATATAGGGTAATAACACTGATTGTTTCCTCTAAAATCCTATTTTGAATGCATATCTACCACCGTAAAGTTCCAGTATAGGGTAATAACACTGCTTGTTTCCAATGAAATCCTATTTTGAATGCATGTCTACTACTATAAAGTTCCAGTACAGAGTAATAACACTTTTTTTTCCTATGAAATTCTATTTCTAATGCATTTAACCATTGTAAAGTTCCAATATAGGGTAATAACACTACTAGATTCTTCTGAAATCCTATTTCTAAAGCATGTCTACCCCTTGTAAAGTTCCATTATAGGGTAATAACAATGCTAGATTCCTCTGAAATTCTATTTCTAATGCATGTCTAACCATTGTAAAGTTCCAATATAGGGTAATAACACTGCTAGATTTCTCTGAAATCCTATATCTAATGCATGTATACCCTTTGTAAAGTTTCAATATATGGTAATAACACTGCTAGATTCCTCTGAAATCCTATTTCTAATGCATGTTTACCCTTTGTAAAGTTTCAATACATGGTAATAACACTGCTAGATTCCTCTGAAATCCTATTTCTAATGCATGTTTACCCCTTGTAAAGTTCCAGTATAGGATAATAACACTGCTAGTTTCATATAAAATCCTATTTCTAATGCATGTCTACCACTGTAAAGTTCCAGTATAAGGTAATAACACTGCTTGTTTCCTATGAAATCCTATTTCTAATGCATGTCTGTAAAGTTCCAATATAAGGTAATAACACTGCTACCTAACAACAAATTATAGTCGACTCAAAAACCAATAGTGCATAAACAGAAAAAAACACGAATATACTCATATTCAAAATTAATATGATAACATAATCAAATATCACAAATCTGTAACACAGCTCAAACCAAAACACAAAAAGCAAATCCACAACCAAACTAAATTTGAAATCAATCCAAATTATAAACAAAAAAAATTAAAATCACAATTTAAAACTCAAACGAATATCTAATACAAATTAGAACGAAATTAGAAAATCCAATAGCTTATCTCCAAATCGACAATAACAAAAATAAACATATAAAATCAAGAAGAATTGGATCTACATTTCAAATTTAAACTCCAAAACTGCAAAAATTATGAAAACTTAACCAGCAACTTAATTAATCGAACATGAAATCACCCAAATCATACTACAATAAAATCAAAAAAGTCCTTACAATACCTATACCAACATATTCAGACTAACAAGGGGAAATTTTTGGTCTTGGACCCCGGCCAAAAAGTGGCCGGAGTAATCCGGAACACTGCCAAAACCGTCGGTGAAACTAGGGTGTATTGATTAATTTCCAAAACTCCAAAATCTATCCTAACCACATACATAAACAGCTTGAGCACGAAAATTAGATAAAGTTTCATACCTCGATCGACGGAAACAACAGCCGGAGTCACCGGAAACGACGTCGGAAAACTTGAAATCCAAAACCTTTTTGAGCTCGCAGCGGCGTCATCAATGGCTGATGTGGCTGGGCTTTAGCCCAGACTTGATCGTCGGCCTTGACCGATCCTTTTCCGATCGCTGTCATGCTGGCCGTGGACGGAGCACCAAGATCGTTGGCCTAGGCTTGGTTTCTGCGAAGGGAGAGAGAGAGAGAGAGAGGGCCCAAATTTTTCAAAAAAAAACTAATTTAATACTAAATGGGTAATAAAGGTATTTCATTTAAGTAATTAAACAAAAAAATGTAACAGCTGTCAGTTTTGGGTATATTTTGGGTGTGTTTATATGTTTTAAATAGTGTATGGTATATTTATAGTTTCATGTCTAGAATTGGGTATTTCACTAATTTTGTATTTTCTTTTTCTCTATTTGATTTTTTTTTTTACATTTTCCTTATTTTTCTTAATTCTATACCTTGTAAAATGTCAAATTTATCCTTATATTTGACGGGTATTTGGATGGAATTGTGAAAAAAGCTAACGGCATGGGTGAAATTGGCTAATAAATTTGATACAATGGTTAAATTGGCTGAAAAATTAATTCATGATGGAGATTTCGACAAGCGTAATAGTTCAGGGGGCATTCGATAGTTTACCCTTAAAAAAACTTAAAAAATTTGCCTTGAACATTTGTTATCTACTATCATTTGCATTTTATATGTGCGCCGTATTAATCATTCTTTCTTCTTTGTAGATGTGGATTAGGACAAAACAATGTGCCAATCCCCTTGCAATATGAATCTTCTTTGGATATTTGTTTAACCAAATTTACTCAATTAATCTCTTTATTTATTTATTTCTCATCCCAAATATTTACTACATTGTAAATGTTGTCTGTGAAAGCGAGCTTATATCTTAACATCTTAGTAACTTTTTGAGTATGCTATTGATTTTGGGCTATTAATAGTGCTTGGAAAGAAGCATGCGCATCCACAACTCCGAACACGGTTATGATAGCAAAAGGAAACTACCTGGTTGGTCCAATGAAGTTTCAAGGGCCCTGCAAAGCGCCGGTTAGTGTTCGAGTTGAAGGAGCCCTGCAGACCCTTGTAAAGCCAGAAAAGCTCAAGTTACAAGATGGTTGGGTCGTTTTTCAAAATATTGTCAAGTTACAAGATGGTTGGGTCGTTTTTCAAAATATTGATGGGTTAACAGTCTCAAGAGATGGCACTTTTGATGGCCAAGGATCAATAGCTTAATCCAAAAATGATTGTGCCAAAACTGGAAAATGCAACTCAGTGCCTATAGTAAGTTTTTTTAATTTGAAGTGAACGTTTTTTTTTATCAATTTGTGAGCTAGAAATGGAGGCTAACAAATAGAATTTGCTCAATTGGGTTCCTTGAATGCAGACCATAAGATTCGTAGGGCTCACCAATTCACACATTCAAGACATAACTTCTTTGAACAACAATCTGTTTCAAATAAATGTCTTAAACTGCGAAAATGTGACATTTCAACATGTGATCATCACGACCCCTGGTGAAAGTCTAACCACAGATGGAATCCACATAGACCGGTTGATATAGATTTTCGAACACTTGAAAAAGAGTATCCAAAAATCACAAATTAAATTACTTGCAAGCGAGGAGAGACGTGGTTCAAATATTAGGGTTTAGATTTTTCACGTTCAACCGGCATTCCCTCATTAGCCTAACAATGCTCGTTTTCATCCACGTTCAGTTGTCATCGCCCTCCTCGACTTGACAAGGCCTAGTCACTTTTCTTCTATGTCGAGTCGCTACCGTCACTCCTCTCTTCGATTCGGGGGTGCTGGCCTTGTTGTTGTCTTTCTCATATTCTGGGTGTTGGTTTTGTCGTTTACTTTTTCCTCGATGCGCCAGTGTTTCTGGTGGTTGTCTTAGTATGGTGGTTTCAGTGGGTCTGCTGCTGCTATTGTACCGACAGTCACCAAGTCAACGATGACTATGGTGCAAGTTGCTTCGTTGGGGTCGGCGGTCACAGTGGAGGTGGCTTTCCTCACACTCCCTTCGTCAGCGGTCACAGATGCATGTGCATCAACAACACCAAGTAAAATTGTTGTTTCCAAAGGGAACATTCAAGTTTGTAGGAACAACTTTTAAAGGTCCTTGCAAGGCTGCTATTGAGTTTCAACTCCAAGGAACATTGCAGGCTCCAGCAGATGGCAGCCAGCTCCCGAAGGACGACACTTGGATTGGTTTCGACAACGTCCACGGGCTCACCTTGTCAGGTGGTGGAACTTTTGATGGCCAAGGAGCACTGTCTTGGAAAAATAATGATTGCAACAAAAATACACAATGCAAATCTAAACACATTGTAAGATGATTTAATCCTACCATGTTGTTTTATATACTTGAAAATCTTCTTGTGTCACATAGGAGCATTTGCGAAATCTTGCTCATTGATAAATTCTTGACTTGATGATACGTGATCCAAATGCACAGCCTGACAATAACAACATATTTGTGTTTGATTTGTTTTCTTAATATATGCAGAATTTGAGGTTCCACTTACTCACCAATTCCAAAATTTTGGATGTAACTTCAAAAGATAGCACAAATTTCCACGTCAATCTTTTGAAGTGCGAGAAGGTTGAAATCAATGGATTTACCGTCTCATCACCTAAGGAAAGCATGAACATAAATGGAATTCACATCGGTCGTTCAACTGGGATCAACATCACTAACACAACCATCGGAACTGGGGATGATTGTATTTCGATCGGTGACGGTACCAAGGACCTCACCGTGACCAACGTTACTTGCGGGCCAAGCCACGGCATAGCCATCGGAAGCCTTGGAAGGTACCTAGAGGAAGAACCCGTGTCCGACATCAATATTAAGAAATGCACCTAGACTAATACAACGAATGGTGTGAGGATCAAAACATGGCTTGCTTCCCCAAAAGATGGCACTGCCTCAGATATTCACTTTGAGGATATTACCATGGTTAATGTTGGTAACCCTATCCTCATTGACCAAGAGTACTGCCGATGGAACGAATGCAAAAAAGGGGTATCTATCTATAACAATTTATTCACATCATATATATGTTCCTTGTTAATCAAGTCATCCTTTACTTAATCTTTAAAAAGATTTAAATTAATCAATTAATGAATGGTTTTGTGTAGGTTCCTTCCAAAGTTAAGATCAGCAACGTTAGCTTCAAGAACATCAAGGGCACCTGTACCGACCCAGTTGATGTGAAGCTTGCATGCAGCCTAGGCCTGCCATGTGAGAATGTGGAATTGAGTGACGTTGATCTCAAGTACACTGGAGACAAAGGCCCTATTACCTCTGTGTGTTCTAATGTCAAGCCGACAATTATTCGCGTGGCACAGCCTCTTGCTTGCTCTACCGGCGCTGCTGCTTGATCTAACAAGCACAAACCATGCTGCTGATGTTTCTTCAAAGATACATTGGTTGTGTGCTCTTCGATTTTGTGCTAATTGTACTTTGTGTTTTCATCTAAGAGGTGGAAAATATCTCAGTGTATTTTTTTTGTTACATCTTAAAATAGATGAATAAATTAGTAGGTATTACATGAAAATAATCATGGGAAAGAGAAAGAAAGTTTTATTTGATTAAAAAAGAATGTTATTGGAATATGAATCTTCTTTGGATATTTGCTTAACCAAATTTACTCAATTAGCCTCTTTATTTAATTGTTTCTGTATGAATGACGACCTTGACCAGTGGTGCTAGGAAGGGGAAGAGGGAGGGGTGATTCAGTCTTATGTTTTTTATTTTTTGTGCAAGAATAGAAGTAAAAAACCTCAAACAAAAAAGAGAAGATGGATTATTAATTCAAGTAATGTGTTGAGTTTAAATACACATTGAAAAAACTTAAAATTTTGCCTTGAACATTTGTTATCTACTATCATCTGAATTTTTATGCGCGCCATATTTAATCATTCTTTCTTCTTTGTAGATGTGGATTAGGACAAAACAATGTGCCTAGCCCCTTGCACCCGACAAAATAATGTGTTGATTCCAAAGCTGTTTGTTGTACTTTGTCTCTTCTCTTGTGTTGCTTCCTGTAGACTTCTCTATTTCCAGTGTAATTCGTTATTAGTGGTGGATAGAGTTGGTGTGCTTTTTGGTGTGCTTTGTGGGTTCTCTCTTTCTTTTTGAAGCTTTGGTGTGTTCTCTGTCAAATGCTCTCACTATCTTATGGCTGTGCAAAGGACTATGATATCATATCGTGTTATTCTATGTACGCTATTTCGGTTCTATGAATTAAATCCATTTCTAAAAATTAAAAAAACTATAGGGCGAAACTTAATTACTTTATACAACCAGACAATTTTTCAAATTTTTATCAACTTTCTCACATAAACATGTCTACAACTTTCACAAATATATCAATGAATCCCGCCATACTTCGAGAAAAAAAAGAGATGAGTTCGGAAAAAAACAGACAAACTATCAGCTAAATAATATACAGTAGAAGTTGCACGAAAACATTGCTTGCAACTAATTGATGCCTTTTACAAAAAACAAAACAAAAAAACAAAAAAAAAAAAAAAAAAAAAAAAACAAAAAAAAGCTTCTTGATGGCATGATTCCTTTCGACAAATAGCTATGAATTTGGTTTGATACGTTAGTGGTGGTAAGCTTTCCAACCGGACTATATATAAATTGGGTTGAAACGAAAATGGAGTACATAAAACTTAACTTAATAATCCTCAACATCACATATACTTGATCCACCAAACAAGGCTCCTTCTATTCTATTATTCAAAATCTCAACCTTGAGATAATCACAATCAACCCTCAATAGCCTTCTCTCCCAATGCAGTCCTCCACCAACCCTAACAACACCCTGCATCGCCACGCCAAAACCCACAATTCCTCCCCTCAAATCCTCAACCATGGCAGCCCCCACATGATCCTTGACGAACACCGAAGATGCGACAAGGCTTGCATGAACTGATGACTCATTCTTGGGCCCTGCAGTTTCGTTGAAAACAACGTTTGTCATGGTGAGAAACTCCTTCTGATAGAAAACAGAGGCTTGCATGGCATCGAATTAGATGCTCTTGTCCTTGTAATGGTTTTTAGCAAGTAAAGTGATGGACCAATTTGCAGTTACAGAAGAGGAGTAGACTATGAAAGGAGAGACCGAGAGAGAGTTTATATGGAATTCTATGTCATGATGAGAAGACAAGTTTAGAACTATTACTAGAGCCAATACAAAACCCGCGATTCCAAGGGTTGCCACAAGCCATGCCATCAAGTTTAAACAACTTGGTTTGCCCGTGGTAAAGCTGGCGGAGGTCCACGTGTTGGTGGCCGTCTTCATGGTTGCTAGGGTTTTCTTGATGGAGGAAACAACTTGACTTACTTGGAGGGGAAGCATGAGGACAAGTTCCAAACCCTTCTGAAAAAAAAAAGCTTTATATATTGGAAACTTAGAAAATTAATTATTTTGGTATGGAGAAAGACTATTATACCTTCATTATATTGGTCAAGATCTGAGTCGATATATGAGGATATGATAATAATCTTTCTGGGTGCAAGAATGGGTAGTTTTCTAACTTAAGAGAAAAGCAAAAGAGAAGTCATTTTTGTGATATATGAAGTTAGTAATAATCTAGTGAAAATAAGAGAAATATAATTTATGGCTCTATACTAGTTAAGAAGAAAAAAAATTAAGTATATATTCTTCAATCATTTTAATTTCTTCTGGATATAAAAAGATTTTCCAATAGTTTGATTAGTTGGGAAGGTAATTCTCATGTCACGACTGCTTTGTTACAAATTATGGTCAAGAATTGATTAGTGTGTTTGGAAACAATTTTTTGTTAATCTTTGCATCAAATTGGATTATAAGTGATCCATGTCTTAAATCTTTTCTTTCTAATCTGACATATCCTTGGAAGCAAAAATCTTTTGTCCAAACTGGAAACTGAGCCAAGCGTTATTGTGTGGTGTCTTGGGGTAGACGGCAATATTAGAAAACAGCCTAAGAACCGTTCCCTGGCTCGTAGGTAATTCATGGCTGAGCTGCTTAATTAATTACTAATTATATGATAAAATGGTTGACGGTGTTTAGCTTCTTAATGGCCTCTCGTATAATTTGACGGTGTTTAGCTTTCCGATCGGACTATAAATTGGCCTGAAATAAATGGAATTTCATCAACTTCCCAACCAAAAAACAAAAACAAAAAAACATAAAGTGAAAAAAAAATAAAAATAAAAAGAGTGAAGATGGGTTTGAAACTGAAAAATGTCTTGCCAGTATTTGTGTTCTTGTTGTTAGCATCCACAGCTAAAGCCCAAACAGTGTTTGATGTGACAAGTGCAAAATATGGTGGAAAGCCAAACTCTGATATTACCCAGGTAACAAACATTAATTTCCATATTCAGTTCAGATTAGAATTTATTTCTATAATTGTTTGCTAAACTAAATCATTTACTATGTCTTAATTTTTGTTTAATGTTTTGAATTAGGCTTTGAGCAAGGCTTGGACAGATGCATGTGCTTCAACATCACCAAGTAAACTTGTTGTTCCAAAAGGAACATTCAAGTTTTTAGGAACAACTTTTAAAGGTCCTTGCAAGGCTCCCATTGCGTTCCAGCTCCAAGGAATATTGCAGGCTCCAGCAGATGGCAACCAACTCCCAAAGAAGGATACTTGGATTAGTTTCGACCACATTGACCGGCTCACCATATCAGGTGGTGGAACTTTTGATGGCCAAGGAGCAATTGCTTGGAAACAAAATGATTGCCACAAAAACCAAAATTGCAAATCTATTGCCATTGTAAGATAATCTGATCCTACCCTGTTTCAAATCTTGGTCATTGATCAATTCTTGACGTGATGCGTGATCCAAATTCACAGTCTGACAATATCAACATTTGTTTGATAAACATAAATCTAGAAAGAGAAAAAAATTACTCATATGTGTTTGATTGTTTTCTCAATATATATGTGCAGAATTTGAGGTTCAACTTCATCACCAATTCCAGAATAGAGTACATAACTACAAAAGATAGCAAAAATTTCCACGTCAATGTTTTGGGGTGCACAAATGTTGCATTCCACCATTTCACCGTCTCAGCACCTAAAGAGAGCATTAACACAGATGGAATCCACATTGGACGTTCCACTGGGATCAGCATCATTGACTCAACCATCAAAACTGGGGATGATTGTATCTCAATTGGTGATGGTACCAAAAATCTCAACGTGACCAACGTTACTTGCGGACCAGGCCACGGCATAAGCATCGGGAGCCTTGGAAGGTACCAGAAGGAAGAACCAGTGTCCGGGATCACAATCAAGAACTGCACCTTGACTGATACACAGAATGGTGTGAGAATCAAAACATGGCCTGCTTCCCCATCAGCTGGTACTGCCTCAGATATTCACTTTGAGGATATTATCATGATTAATGTTGGTAACCCTATCCTCATAGACCAAGAGTATTGCCCATGGAACCAGTGCACACTAAAGGTATATATAACAATTTGTTAACATCATATGTTCCTTGTTAGTCAAGTCATCTACTTAATCTTTAATTAATAATGGTAATATTAATTGTTCTATGCAGGTTCCATCCAAAGTTAAGATCAGCAATGTTAGCTTCAAAAACATCAAGGGCACATCTACCACTCCACTTGCTGTCAAGCTTGTATGCAGCAAAGGCCTACCATGTGAGAAAGTGGAACTAAGTGACATTGATTTAAAGTACACTGGAAACCAAGGCCCTCTTACCTCTAAATGTACTAATGTCAAGCCCACGATTACTCGCGTGACAAAGCCTCTTGCTTGTGCAACTTCTGCTTGATCTAACAAGTACAAACCATGCTGATGTTTCTCCAGAGGTGGAAAATATCAGTACACTTTTGTTGTTGAATAAATTACCCATGAGCCTTGCTCAAGTGACATGATACGGGTGGGCTGAGGGGGTAGAGGTTTTATGTTCTAACCTCCTTGTAATTATTTTTTGTTCTATTTTATTTTTTGGCAAAATGTCATTTTTGGTCCTTGTGGTTTGTCGCTTTTACCACTAAGATCTCTATAGTTTCAATTTGAACATTTTCATCCCTGTGGTATCAATTTGAAGCAATTTAAGGACAATCTTCAATTTCTGTCACATTCTTTTAACTTCTGTTATTGGTGGAGGGATAATCTAGTCAACAAGTTATTAAAAAATTAATTCTTTTAAAAATAAACAATACAAAATGGAAAAATTAATAAATAAAAAATATATCTTCTTCTCCCCTCCCTAGAAGCCTTCGTCCCTCTCTGCTGTATCTCTCCCTCTTCATTTCTCCACCACCTGATAGCATCATATCCCCAGCCCCACCCTACCCCTAACTGTGACCCACCCCCAACCCCATCCCTACCGACAACCCAACACCAGCGCACCGACCCCCTCATCCCTCTATCTCTCTCCGATTTGGCCCTCCACCTCACCCCACCACAGGCCGCTAATCATCTCTCCACCACAACCTAAAACTAGATATTCTCCAATATACAGCTTTGTTCATCAGTCGATTTTTAATAACTTGGCAATAGCTATAGATTTTACCCTTCCCATCAAATAAGCCATAATAAGTGAGAATAAAATTGAAATAGGAGTTGTTCTTGGTGGGTGGGCTGGGTTGGAGCTTCTTTTTTTTGGGCAGATCTATTGGCCATATTGTAATAAATTATGCGGCTTTTTTTTTTTTTTTTTTTTTTTTTTTTTTTTTTTTTTTTTTTTTTTTTTTTTTTTTTTTTTTTTTTTTTTTTTTTTTTTTTTTTTTTTTTTTTTTTTTTTTTTTTTTTTTTTTTTTTTTTTTTTTTTTTTTTTTTTTTTTTTTTTTTTTTTTTTTTTTTTTTTTTTTTTTTTTTTTTTTTTTTTTTTTTTTTTTTTTTTTTTTTTTTTTTTTTTTTTTTTTTTTTTTTTTTTTTTTTTTTTTTTTTTTTTTTTTTTTTTTTTTTTTTTTTTTTTTTTTTTTTTTTTTTTTTTTTTTTTTTTTTTTTTTTTTTTTTTTTTTTTTTTTTTTTTTTTTTTTTTTTTTTTTTTTTTTTTTTTTTTTTTTTTTTTTTTTTTTTTTTTTTTTTTTATTACTTCCAGCTCTAGGGTTGATGACAACACAATATCTATAATGATCAAATCCGAAGGATCGTGGACAAGTTCTCTCTCCCATATGATCCAAACTAGGCAAGAGTCGGATGGCGATCAGAAGAAGTACATACCTATTGCAGTAGAAGGCCCTTATGGACCTGTCTCTATGGACTTCTTAAGGTGCATAAAAAATTAACGTTTCATTATAGAATATATATTGTTAAACTGCTCAGTGATGATCAATTAGCATTTGTTGAATTGAGGCAGGCCTAAGTTTCCATTTTGGAGGCAGGCCTAACTTTGAAGGTACTTGGATTCTTTTTTTATCCATGAAATCTTTTCCAAGTTCCAAACCCTTAAAATTTCCTTGTTCTGGCATACAAGACTAGGATATGTTTCTAACATTTGTTGAATTGAGCGGATATCTTTGCAAAGTTTCCAGATGAGACAGGTGGATCTGATATTGGAGTGTTGCTCTATGGACCTGAGACTACGAAGGAATCAGTGGGGCATCAATTTGCCAGAAAAAATGTGGAGCTAAGAAGCAGAAACCCAATTTCAGCTTCCACTCCCTCAATTTCACACCAGAACCCATAATAAAAAGTGAAGATAATAACAGTTAGATTTCCATCCAAAATAGTATAGTGATCAATCAACTCTAGATATTTGGTATTTTAATCAACAGGTTTGTGTCTATCTAGATTGATCAGTTCTTGTAATTGCTTCTTAGGCTTCCAAGATAATGAATTTGAGCAATGTACATATATATATAAATGTCTCTTGTTGTAGTATAAATATGAACTTTAATGATTGGAATTTGGAACTTTGCCTTTTCTCAGTTGCTTTTCCACTGCAGATAGTTTACTTTTTGTGGTGTGGAATAATGGGGTGTACTCGCCCAATTTGGGAAAATGTGGAATAATGTCTATCTAGATTAAAATTCAAGTTGTCAAAAAAGCAATCAAATAATTATATCATAATCATGTTGGTTAATGGTTACAGGAAGATCCATGAGGAGTTAAATCTTTCATTTATAAAAAAAAAAAAAAAAAAAAAAAAAAAAGAGAGAGGAGCCAAGTCTAATTCAATTTATTTTACTCTTTTTTTTTTGGGCTAAAAAGAGGATAATTCTTGTGTTCCTTTACTGCTTCAGTCTGACTGCGGTCAGTTGGTACAGCATCCGCCTTCTGGCCCTTGCCAACCATGAAATCAATGCTGGCATCCTGGTCAGTGGTTTCCCACAACTCAAGCGTCTCACCATCAGCCTCTATGGTGTCTCTTCTGCTTATCCCATAGGATGAACACTCTGATATCTGATCAAGAATGATGTCTTTCGTCAGAATTTCATTTCCTGAGCCAGATATTTCACGCTTCTTCATAGAAAATGTGCAGGACCAATCAAAAACTGCCAACCCATTATGGATAAGGAAATAAATGGAGTAAAGCTTTAAGTTCCAGAGAGAAAGAAGAAGAAGAGAGTATAGCTTTAATAAATGGATCATCACCTCAGTCCAATTTCCCATTGCAAATGGAATGCATAAACAGATATGGAGATTACCTCTGATTCTTCTGTGTCTAATTTATGAGATGCGGCGTCTGTAAGTACATGCTTCTCAAGTGCTGTTGTACACTCCTTCAAAGGGATGACAAACGACAATCAGGGGGGGTAAAAAAAGGTGCCAGTACAGCCGTCGGCTATACTATTTATTTAAAAAACAGGCCAAAAATGGCTATACGAGCCTTATATTTCCCTCCCTGCCTGGCTCGCTTCACTGAATCACTTCCCATCAAAGTCTTCAAGTTCATGGGCAAAAAAGAGGTGGGCAATAGCCCGTTTGAGCTCTCATGGCGTCTCCCAAGAAATGAAAAAAAAAGCAAGTAAGATAGGAAACTAAAAAAAAACTTAAGCTTGGTTCCAGTCGAGCCTAAAGCCGCAGACTCTGGCTGGTGGGATAGTTTCTTCAACCCAAGGTTTTTCTTTTCACTAAGCTCAGTCTCCAATTACTCTGCTTCCAACTTTTTAGTGGAATGCATTGAGATTGCTTGTAGTTTTAACTAAATTATCTTTATATTTTCCTTATTTTCGAAAATCTATGACCCACAGAAATCTAGAACAGGTGGTGGATTTTGTTCTGTAATGTTAAATTCGGTAATGATGTTCATAATTAGAGCTCAAAACCTATAAACTGTGCTTTTGTTCAATTAGGCTGTTGGAAAAATCAACCTAGGCGCTAGGCGGGTCTAGGCGGGTCCTTTGTTTTTTTTTTTCCTGACTTTAGCTAAATTATGAACTCGCTTCAATTTCTGATTGCCGCTATACGAAAATTGGCTTTTGATTTTATGTGTTTTGCATCCTGAAAAGAGAAAGTTGTGGTCGAAAAGTTATTACTAGAGGGAGCAATAGAGATTTTACCGTGTAAAGGTAGTACGTAATTGTTAGGAATCTGCTTCGGCCTAAGTTGGATGAGTGGTTGGAAATCCTGACTGAATCAGACTTAGGGAATATACAGACACTGAAACATATAGTCGGGCTTTGCCTGTTGTCATAGACTATAAAGCCGCAATTCACTTTTGGAAGGTTGACAAGTTTCACTTTGTTGTCTGCATAAGCGCCTTTATCGGCGTCGTTTTTGGCAACGTTGAAATTGGACTAGTCTTAGCGGTACGTATCATTATTGTGTGTGACGGTAACACCTGAACTAACAACTTAAAACTACGCATTAGAACTAATATTTCTTTTTTCTTCTGTGTAGGTTGCAATATCTGTGATCAGGGTACTCTTGTTTGTGGCAAGGCCAAATTCCATGGTTTACCGAAATGTTGAGCAGTGTCCCAATGAAAACAATATTGTTCCTGGAATTCTCATACTTGAGATTGATGCTCCCATTTACTTTGCAAATACCAACTACGTAAGAGAAAGGTACTAATTAATTAAACCTGAGTAAGAACTAAAGATTTGGGGCTTAAGATAGATAATAGGGACTAAGGTTTTGTTGAGTTGTTCTTGAGGTGGTTGTACTATCTTTTTGTTTTCTGGTCATGTTTATGTTCTAGTGATTCAGAACTAAAGATTTGGGGCTTAATATAGATAAGTGGCTTATCTATGGGACTGGGAAAGAGACATCCCACTTTGTTTGTGAATGTTTGAATCAGACATTTGATTTTTATGATGATTTCACAAATTTTCATCTACAAATTGATTGAATAACTAGTGTAGTGCTTCAAGTTACCAGTCTCTTCTAACCAAGGTGCTTTCTGATGGTGCCACCATACTCATTAAACATAGAGACCTCCGTGTGTCATCCTTTTGATTCTAATAATTTCCAAGTGTTAAGTTGGTTAACTGGCCTAGCGTTTGAGCCATAAATTACTGAAAGTCTCATGATGAAAGAATTGATTGCTTTTAGAAAATGGTTGAAGAGGAGACAGAAAAAGTTAAAAGGATTTGCAAAGGACTCCACTGTTCCTTTTAGAGAAAGACTAAAGATCTTGGCTGGGGTGGTAACTCCTGAGGATATCGGTCGGAGTTCTGCTGAGAAGAAGCTTGTACATGTATATAATGACAAACCAGTTCTTTCATGCCCTCAACGCATTTTTTACAAGGTAAACATTGAACATTTATGTTGCTGAGTGTTAAGAAGATGACACATAAAAACCATGTTTGACTTTATCAAGCTCTCCCACATGCAGGGTCCTAACTACTTTGAGATTGATCTGGACATTCATCGCTTCGACTACATATCAAGGAAGGGTCTCGAATTGTTTTATGAACGTTTTAGAAAACAGAATAGCCAAGCGGCGATATTCTCTTCAAAATATTTTATTTAAGCCGTATGGCCAGGCGGCTATACTCTCTTTGAAAATATTATGTCTATGGCTTATAGCCGAACGGCTATACTTTTAAATGTTCTGTTTATAGAGTATAGCCGAGCGGCTGGACTTTAAAAATATTCTATTTTACGGGTATATCCGAGCGGCTATGCTCTTTAAATATAACAACAAAAATTTGGATTTCTCTATAGCAAAGATGAGCCTTTAGATAATGAATCAATTAGACATGGTATGTGTTTACGTTCTAGCTTTGTTCCTCTGTATGCGCTTAGGGTTGAGATAAAAGTTATGTCTTGTTTATGTGTTGCACGTGTCTGAGAAGTGATGTAATGACGTTGCTTATCTTTCAAGTGCCCCGTGTCATGTTTCCTAAATATATTCGAATATTTAAAAAGTATAGCAGCACGTCTATAATAATATAATTACTAATTGAAGTAATTAAAAAAGGATAAGATATTACTTAATATATATATATATATATATAAAGAGCAAAAGGCAGAGAATTGTGAAACATTCAAAACACTATAAAATGCCCTTGGTTAATTCAAACATTAAGAATTGAAATTATTAATTAAATGAGTATAACATGGTAAATTCATATTTTTATATTAAAAAATTAAAATTAAAAACAAAATAAAAATCAAATAATAGATCCAACTTTTATGGAACATAACAGCCCATATTATCTTTTCTTAATTCTAAAAATAAAATAAAAAAGAGAAAAGAAAATCAATTGGCACATGCTGACTATTATATATATTAAATTAAAGAAGTTGGGCAAAAAATAAAAGTAAAGAAACTAATTTTATATTTCAAAAATAAATAAATAAAGAGCAAGAAGACCAGTCGCGACAACATTTCGTCGGCACAGGTCTATGCCGGCAACTATTTGCCGGATTAGACCACTCCCGAGGAAAGTTTCCTATGCCGATGAAATGTCGTTGGGAGAGGTCTAATCCAGCAGAATTGGGCCGAGATAGACCTGTGTCGACGAAAGTTCATCGGGAGAGGTTTTTTTAAATAATAAGTATAAGCTTAGTATCTTTAGGTCAATAAATTTTTATTTTTGTAATTCAATAAAATCTTAGCCTTATTTAATTACTTTCATTAGTAATTATGTTTTAATCATTATTTATTTTGTGAATAATTAGTATTAAATGTTTTAATTAACTTCATAAATATATTACTTAATAAATAGTAATTGGTTTTTTAATTTTTTTCTTTAATAAAATACTTAAATACTAATGATTCACTAAGTAAATAATAACTAAAACATAACTACAAAATAATGTAATTAAAAAAGAGAAATTCGGATTATGATATTTCAAGGGTATAGCCGTGCGGCTATACGTTTAAAATATTATGTTTATAGAGCTTTACCAAAACAAATTTATGTACGGGGTGCTAAAGTGAATCAATAAATGTGTGATCATGAAAATACTCTAGTAATTCGCTGACTCACTTGAGAAGTTATTTTATTGCTTGTGTACATATCCACATAACATGTTGATGTGATTATCAAATTTTTCTCAAATTATTACAATTCGTGCACAATAGTTATGAAATCCAAATTTTACACAAAAAGAAGGAAGAATAATAGAAAATATCATAGCCAAAGGTGGTTCATATGGTAGATCCAAAGATTCCTATGAAGATGAATCCGTTCTCTTAGAAAGGTTAGAACGGTGGTTCATATTTTTCAAAAAATAGTATAGCCGACCAGCTATACTTTCCAAATTTATTTTAGAAATAGTACTTCCAAGCGGCTATACTCGGTTTTTTTTCTAACTTTATTTTAAAATTAGTATAGCATGGCGGCTATAACTGTTTTTCCCCTATTATTTTAAAAAAAAATAGTATAGTCGGGAGGCTTTACCCGGTATTTTCTTAACAAAAGTAATTCTAGCCTATGGCTCGTTTGAGAATGATTCTAGACGTATCAAAAATCACTTTTATAGAGAATCACTTTAAGTGGTTTAAATGATTTTATAAAGCAAGCACGTGTAAAGTACTTCTCCCCATAAGTAATTATGATTCCCAAACGAACCCTAAGAAGTGTTTTCCACAAGTCACTTCCAAGTACTTTTAAATTTTTTTGACAAAAAAACAAAAAAAGAAATTTAAATTTTAAATAAAAATTTGGATGTAGTTGTAATAACTAAAGATTAAAAGAAAGGCTGATTTTATTAGCACCCCCAAATTTGCTCTTTGCACTCCATATTCTCTTTACACTCCACTGAATTTTAGTAAAATTTAAAATTACTCACTATACCCCCTTTTTTTTTCTTCATAGATTACCCTCAAAAACCTCAGTTCTTAACTTACCTTGTTTCAGTGGGAGTCCACAGAATTTGTTTGTGTTTTACAGTAGCTATCCACCGAATGTGTTTCTGTTTTTCAATGGTAGTCTACCGAATTTGTTTCCGTTTTTCAGTGGTAGTCTACTGAATTCGTTTCTTGTTTCAGTGAATTCATTTCTTATTTCAGTGATCATCTACTGAATTCGTTATTGAGTTTGTACTTAATATTGTTTTTTTATATATGAAGA